CAAACGTTTTGTTTATGGAGTGACGTCTTATTCTATGGCGCTTGCTATGACTGATTGACTTCCCTAGTCTGCCCTTTGGGTTTTCAGCTTAGGATATTGTGTTTTGTTTTGTCCTAACTTTTGTCTAGGTTTCTTTTTTTCTTTTCTTCTTTTTTTTTGGGTTTGGGAAACCTAGCGGACTTTATTTTGTAACCCTAGTTTTTGCCTAGGCTACCCTTTATGGTTGTTCGGGTTTCCTAGCGGGTTTACCCTAACTTTTGCGTAGCCCCCTTGGGTGGGTTTCCTACCGGGTACCTTGCATTTTCTTTTTGCACAACATTGGCGAAACACAACTTTACTTATGACGAGGTAAAACTTTATTTCGTGCTTCTAGTCAATCAGTTGGTGATGAATTTGACTTTTATTTTGGTCGATGGCGCATTTTGATTACTTTGACGCACTTTTGAAAACGTTTGCTTAAACATGGTTATTAATGAGGTTTAGACATTAATAGCAAGAAGAGAAGCAGATAGTAAGAATGACATTCTTTGTAATTAATAGGGAAATGTGTGCCCTACAATGCTCGGGGGTCGGGCTAGCCCCGAGGAGTAATCTCTAATAGTCATTGGATTTACAAACCCTAAGAATCCGAAGGAGAACACCTAATGACTAAAGTCGCTTTTGACGCTTGAACCCCTCTATATGGGAAAATCTGATTTGAGGTGCAGAGGGGAGACTTCCCTTTTCTCTATGTAGCTTGATCCTTTGTAGGGTCATGCCCTAGACCATGCTTTAAAGGATTGTCTTTAAAATCTGGTGGCTCCCTTATTCCTTGAGAGTTTCTAATGAGCCCTTGGTTTGGGTGACATATATATTTTATCATCATGTGGGTCACCTTCATATTGTTGGGGAAGTCTTTTCATATTGGCAAAAGATATTTCAAGGGTCTTCTTCCGCCGCCTCCATTCAAGGTAGGGCAGACGACTTGCTGATCTGAATGTTATCTTTAGCTCGAACCGTAAGGAGCTTGTCGCCTACCGTGAGTTTGTCTCTTTGGCAGAGAAATGCCTTAGCGTCGCGAATCCGAAGTCTACTTAGTTTCTTTTTTAGATCATGTTTTTCCTCGGTCTCTTTATTTCTCCCTTTATTCTTGGGAGCATTGTCTCGTAGCTCCTTGGGGGAGTAAATTTTTCCATTTCTTGTCTTGCCCCCAAATGACGGCTATGCTGGAGATATCTTCATTGATGGACGATGTTTCTGCGTATCTCAATGGTACATCTTTATTTGGTTCGAGACATAAATAAATGTAACGGCATCCTTGCCGCTTCTTCCTTATTGACTTGGATATCCAATGGTTGAGGCTTGTTATCCTCCTTGGGCGGATCAACCATTGGAGAGAAATTGATGACGAAAGGCTTACTCTCCATCTTATTCCGATTCATGAAAAGCACATCGACTAATCCTTTCTTTTTATTATCTTATTATTATTAAAGTGAGACTGAATGCAATGAATGCAATAAACGGTTGAAGAGACAAACAATTTTATTTATTTCATCTAGACGGTGTACATTCCTCAATGTAATGTTTCGAAGTACATTTTTTTTTAAAGCGGAGAAGCCTAAATGAACCCATAGGCGGATAAATATTTTTATTTATTTTCTTTTTGACTTCCCGTGTATGGCATGCGAATGCCTTATCCTCTTCACATGGTATTGAGGAATGTCCACTTTCTTCAACCGCCTACTTCTAGATGATGTTATGAGGATGAAGTTTGGTGCATGCATGTATGCAAGTGTTTGTTTTTTCCTAAACATTATCATGTTTTATTTTCTAACATGATGTATGATAGTGTTTGGGATTTTGTGTTTTTTTGTATGCGGATGAGGGCATGAAGAATACCAGCCGCTTTCTAGAATGCAAAAAGATTTTTATTGTTAAAAATGAATGATTTATGAGATGGATATTCCTTAAGACAATGGCTTAGGTATCCTCCTTAAAGCTTATGCTTTGTGGGGTATCATACCCACCTTGGTGTAATGGTTCTTTCCCCATCACAGACTTGACAAGTATAATGGGGGTCACCATCACACCTTAGTACATTCATTCCTTCCTTGTCGCGAAGGTCATAAATGTGCTCGGGGCCTCTTTCGCCATTGTCTTAGGGATATCTAGTGCTCCCTAGAATAAATGTATTTATGCATGCACCAGTACAAAAGGGCAGTATATGTTCAAAGTGGCATAACTTTTGACTGGGTTGTCCGATTTGGGCGCACAGCATGTCAAAACGAAGAGAAAAGAGTGAAGAACCAAGTTGCAAATGCCGAAGGCGATTTGGCCCAGTAATTTTCCCAAAAAACGTCTCTAAGACCCATTTTTTAGGGGTTTATTAAAATGATGCGTATGCATACTTTCCTTACGCACTTATTTTTCTCTCTTGGTTTTTCCACTTATGATGCGATATGAATGATACGACTTTGTCAATATTATAAATGTTTTGATTTTTGTTTATTTTTATTTGTTTTTTATTTTATTTTTATTTTTTAGCCTTTTATCTCTTCTGTCGGAACTGCGTGGCTACTTAGCTTGCAAAGAACCTGAAACCAGGCTAGCTAAAAGGCAGACTGTCCGAGATAAAATATGGCTTTATGCGAAAAATATTTAACGTCCCTTATCTCTTCTATCGGAGCTGCGTGGCTACTTAGCTTACAAAGAACCTGAAACCAGGCTAGCTAAAAGGCAGACTGTCCGAGATAAGGGTGTTTATTCGTGAAAATATTTTTGTGATTTTGTTCTGTTGTTTGTTTATGCTATGAAACAGTCAAATGCAACAAACATATGCACACACAATTCGATCATCCACGAACAAGCGAGAATTCGTTTTTATCACGAGGTAGGGTTTTCCTACAGAAAAGTGCATTGGTCAAGGTAGGTTCTAACTGTTCTCACCAGGCTAAGGCCCCCAAGGTGCCCCCATTATAGGGTCCCCACTCTCCAGCCGTCCGACCATGCTCAACACTAAGGCCAGAGTCGGTCTTGTTGCCAAAAGAGGAAGGTTATCACCTTGAGTGGTGGTTTCCGATCACACTGGTGGGCATAAGGCCCTAACTACAGCGAACCGTACCTGCCACCCACTCCCTATGGTTATCTCACTTGCGCCCGGGTATAGAGGGAACTGTAGTGTGCATGGGTTTGTGTGCAGTTTATATTTCAATCAATTGCGTAAGTATAAACAAGCAACAGTTATTTGAAAGCCAAACAATAAAGCATGTTATAATACAAGGCAGGGTAAAAGCGCTATTTTCTTGGTTTAATTATTTTTAAGCCAGCCCATCACTAAATGGGATCAACTCTCTAGGCTTCCCCAGTGGAGTCGCCATCTGTCGCCGCATCCCCGAAGAAAAGGAGCGTGCGGTCGGAGCGACGCGATGGTTTTTCGACTCTTCTTTGATTTTCGCGTTTTTTATGGGTGGTTACAACGTCCTTAGGTTGTCCGATAACCGGGCTAACCTAGAGACGAGGTTTTCGAAAAGTGTCTTTGAGTTGTCCGATAACCGGGCTAACCCAAGGACTTATTTGTTTTGGGTTCTATGGAGTCGCCACCGATAATTTTACCATAAACATCGGAAAAGGGGTTTTTAAAAGGCGTTGGTTTTCGAAAACCAACTTTGGTCATTAGAACCAGAGTTGGGTAAGGGAGTTAGTTGCGTGTAAAGGGAGTATTAGTCCCTTTACGACGCCCCTTTCGGGTTCCCTATGATAGGCCGACTATTTGTGAATAATTAAACTTGGAAAATTGCACTTTTACCCTTTTTATTATGCGGAATTTAAATATATGACTACATGGCCCTAGCTTCTATTGCGTAATTTTAATAGCAGTAAAAAAATAGAGAGTGAGGATATGCACCTCCAAAGCAAGCTTTATATATTAAAAAGAGAGGGTGCGTTTTGGCAACCCTTCGCTCTACAACTCTCAGAAACTCCGGAAACGCCTCGGAGGGATTCTAAAGAAGATTTAGAACACTCTGTATATGCCTAGAGACACTCAGAAACTCCGGAAATGCCTTGGAGGGATTCTTAGAGAGAGAAATTCTAGAGAGAAGGGAGAGCTCTTGCTGCTGGGTGTGTCCAAAGGGAGAAATGACGCCCCTATTTATAGTTTTTCGCGCCTGACATGTCGAGACCGCCGTCTCCTCTGACAGTGTCGAGACCGCCGTCTGGAAAGTCCAGACCGCCGTCTCGACTTGGCAGCGGGTCGAGACCGCCGTCTGGAAAATCCAGACCGCCGTCTCGACTTGGCAGGAATCGAGACCGCCGTCTGGAAAACCAAGACCGTCGTCTCGAATTTGCAGGTGGCGAGACCGCCGTCTGAAAAATCGAGACGGCGGTCTGGTATTCCCAGACGGCGGTCTCGTCCCTTCAGGGCGAGAAACTTTATTTTCGGGCCAAAAAACCTTCCTATCTTAGTACGGGGGCCTAATAGTCTCTCCTAATGGCTTGTTAGGCTTCGGCCGTCGTCAAATAGGATGCTTTCTGACTTTATTCTGAGGCCGGGCAAGATTTGGGGTCTACAATAATAAAAGGATAAGGGATGTATAGACATATTAATAAGTATTGGTGGAATAGGATCATACCAACAATATGATGTACACTTGAACCTGCATAAAAGAAACGCAAACAAAAACAATAGGATGACAGTGGAAGTATAGAAACATTAATAAGTATTGGTGGAATAGGATGATACCTGCAATCGGATGTACATGCTGTCAATTTTCCATCTCCTTGCCAAGTCATAGAATAAATCAAAATCATGATGATTTTTCTCTTTTCTTCAAAAGTAGTAATAGAAACAATCAACCCAGTATGTAAATGACAACATTTAATAATGTTGCATTTTAGTTTCTAATTTTGCATTAGTTAATGGTTATTATCTTTTACAGGTTTTGTATTATCTTGTTAGGGTCGAACCATTCACTACTCTTGCAATCAAACTACAAGGCGGAAAATTTGATCATGCAGATCGAATGTTTTCTGATATTTTTGCTACATGGAATGGAGTTCTTGAGGACATGAGTGATGTGAAGGAATTGGTATACATTTACTAACTTATAACAGAATGATTGATTTTCTTGAATGGTTGTACATTAAATTTCTTTGCAATTGCATGTTAAAGACTTCTAGTTTCCCTTAGCAACTTCAATGTTTTTAGTACTTATATTTTTACATGCTTTTAATAGGTTTCTTGAAACTTATATTTTAAGATTTTCTTTTTCCTCTTATAATGTTAAATTAGGTTCCTGAGCTATTTTACCTCCCGGAGGTCCTCACAAATGAAAATTCAATTGATTTTGGCACAACACAGTTGGGAGGAAAGCTCGGTATACTCATTGAGATTTTCTCCATTTTCTTTTTAAGAAGACAATTAGTTACATGTATGTGCATATTAAAGTTATTTCTGCTTGTGTATTACGATTGCCATGCCAGATACTGTAAAACTTCCTGCTTGGGCTGAGAGTCCAGTTGATTTTGTGCACAAGCATAGGATGGCTCTGGAGAGCGAGTATGTATCTGCTAATTTGCATGAGTGGATTGATCTCATATTTGGGTAGGCTTTCTTCCTACTTTCAGTTTCTCCCCAATCTTTTGGAGTCCAATCATACTTCAAGGCTTCTTTCTGTTTATTCATGAGTCTTAGTTTTCCTAGCATTTTCAATGTAGATATCTATAATATTCCTTTTTAAATTTCCATATGGTTATATTAAAAGGATTTAACCATGCAGGTATAAACAACAGGGCAAAGAGGCTATTGCAGCAAATAATGTTTTCTTTTACATTACCTATGAATGGGATTCAAGAGGAGCTGCCATAAACTGACAGATTTTATTAACAGAAAAACATATCTCGACTCAGGTGATTGTGAGATATTGAAGAGCACCCACTACAGAATATTTGACCCAGTATGAAGGGACAGTGGATATTGATAAAATATTTGACCCAGTATGTCTCTGTTCATCTTCATATTTTCAATTCATCTTGTTGTCTATGTAACATGAAATTCCAACTCCCTGAAACAAAATATGAAAATATCCTTAAATCAATTATCATATCAGAACTACCTTTGGTTGAAGGATTAAAGTACATGATAATTATAGTTTTGCTTGTCACTTGTATGTGTGATTGTTACATAATTGCTATTATACATGAACTTGACTCGCTTAAGCATGATATAAACAAGGCAATCCTTGTGACCAATACAAGTTGTAGAGAAACCGAGGAAAATAGAAAAGATTAGATGCGTAAAATATCCATTTCTCTTTTTGGGTAAAAGATGAGATGGAAAAATAATCCCTTGTGCCATTACTGTCTATATGTGAACTTCTTAATGAAAGAAAGAAAGAAAGATATATTGATACTAAAAGAAAAAGAACAATCAGTAATACATGTAATTCTCTGTTACAAAGATGAGATGGAAAAATAATCCCTTGTGCCATTACTGTCTATATGTGAACTTCTTAATGAAAGAAAGAAAGAAAGAAAGATATATTGATACTAAAAGAAAAAGAACAATCAGTAAGACATGTAATTCTCTGTTACAAACCCATTAGACAGAAAATTAGGAACTGTTTTTGTAACTAAATTACAACTCGACGTGAAAACATAAAAGGGTAATATACCTAACAAGAGAAATATCTCTATACCACTCCGACAAGCTCTCCGGATGGGTGAGATACATCATGTAGATCAACCACTCGTGAGCTTGGATACGAGAAAAGAAATCTTGTAGTATACAGATCGTTTAGTAAGAATATCCGGCATAAGATCATGACCTAGAATATGTTTGTTGAACAACAAGTTGTTTAGCAAGCACTCTCTCTTGAACAAAGAAAATATCATGTTCCTTATGTTTTGTCTTTGCATATAGGATGGGATTAAGAGAGAGATTAACTGCATTGAGATTATACCAATACACAATCGTAACACAATAAGGTATAGCAAATTCACTATGAAGTGTTTGAATCCAAAGAAGTTTGGTGGTGACTGAGGCAAGGCTCCAATATTCTACCTTTGTACTAGATAGCAACAACAGTTTTCTTATGAGACCTCCATGAAACTAAAGTAGGACCAAGAAAAATTGCAACTCTAGAGCTAGACCGACTCATCTAGGTCAACGACCCAGTCCGCATCACAAAAAGCTTTAATCATTATAGATTGATTAGCAATAGTTAGAATAACTTGTATACCACAATGAAGAGTACCTTTAGATATCTAAGTATTCATTTTATCGTGGTCCAATGGGATTCAAGAGGAGCTGCCATAAACCGATAGATTTTATTAACGTAAAAACATATCTCGACTCGGGTGATTGTGAGATATTGAAGAGCACCCACTACAGATTTGTAAAATGAAGGATCTAACAATAAATAAGAACCTTGTTTAGAAAGTTAAATCATAGGAGAAGAAACTGGCTTAGCCTCAAGCATGTTAGTCTTAGAAAGATCTTTAATCTATTTTGAGTCGCAAGGAGAGACCCATTGGATTGAGGACAAACTTCTATACCAAGAAAGTAATCGAGATTACTAAGCTGCTGTTTTAGAGAAAAGATCGAATCGATTTTGTGAATAAAACTCTGAAAAAAGGAGAGTTTCTTGTGGTAAACTTCTATATCAACAGAAGAATTACGAACTCGACCTTAGTTGTCTCGCTTTCGTTTTTGTTTGACGATGAAAATAGGAATGAATCTTCTTCCAAACTTCATAAGAATAGATACACACAAGAACATGAGCAAGAATTACTATTGTAACCAAGCTAACAACATGTGATCTTGTTGTTCCCAAACAAGATAATATGAATTCACGTGATCAAGAAGATCTTGATCCAAAAAAAAAGGGAAAGAATTTTCCGAGCTACAAGAAAATGATGCATAAAATGTTGAGGCCATAGCAAGAAATTATTGTCATTGAGTTTCTGTAAACTATGATGAGAAACTGTGACCAGAGTTTGTGTTGGACCAAGATGAAAGAACCACTATCACTGGAAGTAGTGTGGGTTTGCAAGGGTGTTGCCCGAGTGATTACAGGTGGTGGAGGGGAAGGTGGTAGAATGGTTTTTGAAGCCATAGATCATATTTCTCTTATACCATATTAAAAGAAAGAAAGATATATTGGTACTAAAAGAAAAAGTACACTTAGTAATAAATCTAGTTATCTATTAAAATCAGTAATATATGCTAAACAGAGAATTACAAAACATAAAAGAGAAATATCTCTAACATGGGTGATATAACGCAAATTTTATGACTTAAAAAATGGAAGATTTATGCACTATTAATTTTAATGTGGAGTACATTTTTGCAAAAATACTAAAGTCATATTAAAAGCATCAGACCTCAACAAATAATTTATCCATGTTTTTGTAACTCGTTACTCCTCCTCTGCATGATAAGTAAAGGTGCAACAACATGCCACACAAGATCAGATTGGTTATTTTGGACAAACACCATCCCCACTTCTTACTATTCCACACTTGAAGAAGAAACCGCTATCAGAAGTTCTGCATTTGCAGGTAACCTCGATTGAATTGATTTAACAGTAACACCTTTATTAATACAAGCATCTATGTTTGCTTCCCTGTCTTCTTACCCTTTGTTTTTTATGGATTTCTGTAATCATCAGGCTAACTGATAATTCATGGTTTGCCATTAGCCATGCATGTATAATGGCTGTTTTTCACAATTTTGGTTTGTAATACGAAGAGTAAAAACAACTACATTTCTTTTTCACTAAGTAACTCGCTATTCATGAACTCTTGCAAAAAGTACCAAACATTGCCAAAATTCACTCTCTACCCGATTTCTTATACATACTTACCCCGACTTTGATTTCCATAAAGTATTTTTGGATAAAATGGTCACTTGTTTTAATTGTCAAACATAAACACACACAAAATCATACAAATACAAACACAAGGTCAAACACAAACGCAAAAAAAACAAAAAACAAAAATAAAAACACAAACACAAAAACAAACACAAAAGAAAACGCAAACAAAAAAGCAAACGCAAACACAATAGGATGACAATGAAAGTATAGACACATTAATAAGTATTGCTAGAATAGGATCATACCTGCAATAGGATGTACACGTGCACCTGTATAAGACAAACACAAAGACAAACCTAATAAGAGGATAGGGGATGTATAGACATATTAATAAGTATTGGTGAAATAGGATCATACCAACAATATGATGTACACTTGAACCTACATAAAAGAAACGCAAACAAAAACACAATAGGATGACAGTGGAAGTATAGAAACATTAATAAGTATTGGTGGAATAGGATCATACCTGCATAAGACAAATAAAAAAAAAAACACAAACACAAACACAATAGGGTTACAGTGAAAATATGGACACACTATTAAGAATTAGTGGAATAGGATCGTACCTACAATAGGATATACATGTGCACCTCTATGTTCAATTGCTCAATAACATTAGCTGCATTTTCGTCGCATCACAGATTTTGTGTGCCATAACAACATATTCTTTCAGTCCTGCAATTCAGTTGTGCTTATTAAAAACAAACATTGAGTATAAGAAAATAAATGTGGTTGAGTGACCCAAAATACTTAACTCATAGTGGGTTGAGGAGGTTGTAAAATTTCTAGCTCAGTATAAATTGAGCGAACAACACAAACACACACACAAGCAATCACAAACATAAACACACACAACATCATACAAACACAAACACAAGGTCAAACACAAACGCAAAAAAAAAAAACACAAGCAAAATTAAAAACACAAACACAAGAAAACGCAAACAAAAAAGCAAACGCAAACACAATACGATGACAGTGAAAGTATAGACACATTAATAAGTATTGGTAGAATAGGATCATACCTGCACTAGGATGTACACGTGTATTTGCATAGACAAACACAAACACAAACACAATATGCCGATAGTGGAAATATAGAAACATTAATAAGTATTGGTGGAATTGGATCATACCTGCAATAGGATGTACACGTGTACATAGATAAGACAAATAAAAAAAATACAAACACAATAGGATGACAGTGAAAGTGCAGACACATTGGTAAATATTGGTGGAATAGGATCATACCTGCAAAAGGATGTGCATGTGCATATGCATAAGAAAAACATAATAAGATGACAGTGGAAGTATAGACACATTAATAAGTATTGGTGAAATAGGACCGTACCTACAAAAGGATGTACACTTGCACCTGCATAAGACAAACACAAAGATGAACATAATAAGTTGAAAGTAGACATAAAGAAACATTAATAAGTATTTGTGGAATAGGATCATACCTGTAATAGATTGTATACGTGCATTTGCATAAGTTAAGCACAAACAGAAATACAATAGGATGATAGTGGAAGTATATACACATTAATAAGTATTGGTGCAATAGGATCACACCTACAGTAGAATGTTCACATGCACCTACAAAAGATAAACAAAAACACAATAGAATGACAGTGGTTGTATAAACATATTAATAAGTACTGGTGAAATAAGATCATACATACAATAGGATGTACACTTGTACCTACATAAGACAAATACAAAGATGAACATAATAAGTTTACAGTGGACGTGTAGAAACATTAATAACTATTGGTAGAGTAGGAACATATCTGCAATGGGATGTACACGTTAACCTACATGAGTCAAACACAAACAGAAATACAATAGGATGACAGTGGAAGTATATACACATTAATAGGTATTGGTGGAATAGGATCATACCTACAATAGGATGTTCACATGCACCTACATAAGATAAACACAATAGGATGACGATGGAAGTATAGACATATTGAAACACAATATGAT